TACTTCCCTCATAGCACGGAAAGACACACACCACCACCATCATGGTTGCCACCCATACCTCTTCGTTCGGTTCTTTGCTGACGTCCTACCCATGGGCGCTTCAGAGAGCTAAACCCACCACCGGACAATGAAGTTTACGCCCTAACCGTCCTCATATCCCTCTTACGGAACATGGGTGGGGTTTGACAGCAATACAAATTATTCATTTACCTGCATTGGCTCTTATCCGCCACGGTTCGTTGACCAGGTCGACACCCCACGCCCGGATACGGCCGCAACCCAGCCTGCTTGACCCATGACCCATGTCTGCGGCTGTCTTCTGCCAGCTAATACAGTAGCTAACTCCGGAGGAGATGGTCAGGTATGTATGCAGACCGCTGGCAGTTATACATTGATTGATTAAGCAGCTGGTCACAGCGGATCGCCTAGCCCCCTTGAGTAGACTACAGTACATTGACTCGATTGTGTAGTAATAATACCTCTTGTTACTATACACATCCCTATCTTCTGGTTTTACGGACAAAACCGTGCTGCCGGTGCCAGCCACTTTGCGGTATACCGAGAAGCGTGAGAGGGTGGTTGAGGATAGCAACAGAACCTAACTGACAACCGCTATTGTGGTTGACAGTTGTAAATCCCCGAAAGTCCCAAGCCCGCTTCGGCGGGACCGGCAGTCTGCTTTCCATCCATTGTCTACTCACCTCACCTCACCACTACGGCATAACAACGACAGCCGGTGTCGATTGCAATGACCCCTCCAACATCTTTTGGTATTGACATGGGAAGCTCACACCCCCGCTTTGGCCTCTTAGTTCGTCTTCATTATGGCGGTACCTACCGAGCCTAAGGATCAACTTTGGCCAACACATTCTACTATGTAAGCACAATATGCCACCCTGCTGGCTGGACGAAAGGTGATGAAAAGGGAAAACCAGTACTGGTGGCCCCAGTCTAGAAACAAACGACTGTCATCCGGGGATTAAATGGTTCTAGGCGAGGTGGCCTGGGTCATCCCACCCACCAGCTACCCCTATCGCTAGCGCGGCATGCCTGTCTTTCCCTTCCCGGGGCACCCAAGATAGATCTGTCAAAACCTGAGAGACGCTTCAAGGGCCTCGATGTACGTATGATGCATCCCACATTTTCCTCTCCCCCATCTACAGATACGCACAGATACGCGTATGCACGCTGTACAGACATTTCGGCACGCATACCTAGATCTGGGGGTGTAGTGAGATTGTGCCGTGAAACGTGGTTGCCCCTCCTCATGTATTATCTCGCTGAGAACAACTTTGCCCCGGTTGGCCCAACTCAAGACCCTTCATTACCCAAGGTACCCAGCAAAGCTCACCGTTCGGCCGAGAGAGAGAGCGATCACCCTCTACTTTGGGAAAGCTGCGCGATTCGCACCGGACCAATAGGCCCTGCTGATCTCCCACGGCAGGCTAACGAGGAGAAAAGGCATCCTTGGGTCGAATGCAAGTCAAGGACCAGACTAAAACACTTAGCAACAATGCTACTAATCCATCAGAAGCCAGCTCACTAGCCGGCTCTGTGTCTAGCCTGGTGCTGCCTTGGAACCCCCTGTCGCCCCGAAGCCCTTGTTCGTGGATGGGAGAGGACCCAACAACGTCAAACATCCTTGTCCCATGCTGATATGCATTGACACTCGCCGCCACTAGGTGGGTTGGTCCAGCGCGCTAGTGTAGGTAAAATTCCAGAGCTCTCCTGGCATTGCATGGCATATGGCTGCATGGCCATCTTTATGCGAATATTATATCATCTATCAACTCTTCAAATGCGAAGGCGCCAAGCATTGGGGGAAAAAAAGAAAAGAAAGAAAATCTACGAATTCTAAATTTAAAAGCAACATAATAAATGAGCCCGGCATGAGATATGTCATGTCGAAGTTCCAAAGGAGCTATCCGGCAGGTCCCGCAAGCACGGGCGGGCGTGACTGGTTCGAGGCTGTGCAACAGATCAATAAGATGGCCAAATAAGCAGACGAAAGGGTCGGATTGGGATTTGGCATAAGGCTACCCGCACAATCTCGTCCACAAATGCGTGGATCAGCACTGCCGAAAAGGGTCATCCGTCACCTTGGACCCGAATCATGTATTGCGTAGGTAGGTATCTGCACGCCTTGACACATGCTAATGTTTAAGAGTGCCCACTGCAGGAGGAATATCACAGCATCATATCATGCAATGCTAATTAAGCGGTACCAGCAGCTTGGTTGCGCGAAATGCAAGGTGTGCCATTCTGATTGAATCATCAGGTCGTTAACTTTTGTTCATCCCGAAAAGGGGGTCGCTTTCTATGTTAATGCCATATGTCTCCTCCCATGTTATATATCATTCGATGTTGTTTCCCAGCAAAGACTGAGCCGCCAGTCCAAAAGTCCGCCCCTCCGTTTCCATTATGATGATGCTCCCAAGATTAAGAAAAAAGAGTAAATGCCTGCAAAGATTATGAAAGAAAAAGATGTGACCAGTGTGTTCCCCCGCAATATGATAAACGACCCAATCATTATTCAAGAAAAATGAAGAAAATGTTACACACTCCCCCTCTTCAGGGTGGGAGCTCGCTGTTGTTGGTAGGATTTGATATCCTCGTCGTAGCTGCCTGAGTCCAGGTCGTGTCGTTCTGTAGTTGGAAGGATTTTGTTATCGCCCGTTCTGCCGGCCATAGCGTCGGTTTCGGCCCTCGCATTATTGATCATTGTTGGCAGTTGTCGCCGCCGAGCATTGATAAACCAGTTGGAAATTTGATCTAGATAACAGAATCTTGTTAGTCAATTCCATTCAAGACACCAATGGGTGTGATGCCACAGGTCTCAGCCAACTCACTCATTTGGAGGCCCGTTTGCCTCATTAGGTCCTGCTTCTCATCTTCGGTGGGGTAAGGATGAGAGAGATGGGCCATGAACCAGGCCCGCAGTTTATCAGTCGTCTCCTTGGGAAGATTTCCACGACGCTTGCGTTGCTTCGATTCGCCAGAGAGCGCGGCAATGTGCCCCAGGTCGGTATACCTAGGATAGTCGCTAAAAGATCCTCTGTAACTCCCTGCCGAGAATGGAGTGCGGTCATATGAACTGTGAATAGGGCTTGCCGATACTGAATGGATATGGCTGGTGCGTGGTGGTGGGTATTCATAGGTTGATGGGCCGTATTGAGAGCCCGTCTCCAATGGAGGCGGAAGTCCATGCTGGAGAGATCCTGAGCGGCGGTGGTCAGGGTAGTCTTCGTAACGGTCACGAGGATGCGGTCTCGGTGCTGGATTCCTGTCCAAGGAGGGAAGAGAAGGAGGCAGGCTGGGCAAAGTTGGTCGCGGTTCAACTCTCTCGTTCACTTCCATGGGAGGCGGAACCGTATCCTTGTGCGAAGATGAACTCTTGCGAGACTGGCTCCAAGCATCCACAGAATGATGACGGGCTGGAGAGTGAAGCCTCATTGCACTTCGGTCAGGGCTATAATACATTCGTGGAACATGTCTAGCCCTCTCCCGCTCCTGCTCGTCGTCTACCGAATCTCTCCGGCGCTTGTTTACCACCGGTGAGTGAACGTACCCTGGCGATGCAAGAGGCCCCGTGACTGCCGAGCTTGGTGAGGGATCGGTGGCGGAAGAAAAGGTAGGTGCTGGCTCCTGATGTTGGCTGTTGCTGCTGGTGCTACCGTTGGGATGATGATGAAATTCAGGGAAGAACTGAATAGTTGTCAGAAAAAATTGGGAGGGTGAAGATCAATACCAACTTTCAACATACCATGCGAATCGAAGGTAGAGACACCGACCCTGGTTCCTGAGTTGAGCGAGTATACTGGGAGGGGATGCGGGGGGCATCCCAAGCATAATCTTGCCGGAAGCCAGCAGGCGGCGCTGGAGAGGCTGCGAGCATGGCCATTTCTGATTGTGAGGAAGAAGAGTGCGATTGAGAGTTGTTGTGTCTGTGGTGATGCCTCGAGGGGCTATAGTCCATTACAGGACGGACCTCAACTCGGCAAGAATGTTCCAACCGCCGTCAGAACCCTTGCCAACTAGTGTCGTGACGTCCAAGCAGCCTGTGATCCGAACCCCAAACAGTTCTCAGAGCAAAGCAAGTAAAACCACGCACGACTGGCGAGGAGTCGTATCGTAGATGGACCAGAGAGGTTGAGGGTGAAGATCGAATTCTATGGACCTCCAAGTTGAGTATACGTTGTTTGGCGGGGACGGGGAAAGGTACAACAATGAGATGCAGAAGGGCTACGAGCAAAGACCGGGTTGGGTCAAGGACGTACCATATCTTTAAAGGTCTCAAGATGCGAGTGCGGCAAGCTGTTGTGTGGGGAGGCGGAGACCGTTCTGACGGCGAGGCTAAGCCGCAAGGGACCAGGTCTGCGAGGCATGGACCGGGCCCGGCGATCAAGAGAGGGCAGACATGACGCTGGGACCAGAGACAGGGCCCTGAGGTTTACGAGTAACGGAGTACAGCACCTGAAGAAATGAAGACCACATACATTTCAGGATCACGACCCTCTTTCTGGATCCCGGGGGGCGGAGGGGGGGTGTGCGCTAAGGGGACAGTTGGTGGGAGTGGTGGTGGCTCAAATCTGCCACGCTTGATGGTGACACCTGGTGGGTGGAGGGTGCTGGGCAAGACCGCTGGGATGGTCCTTCCCTGGGAGGGGGCGTGCGAGACGACCAGACGTGGACCGGGGGAAGGCGGCATGGATCAAGGCCCCATGGACTTCTCCGGCCGGTGAAGTACGTACCTCCAGCACGGAAGGTCCCATGGAGGAGGTAATTGCCGTCCCCAAAAGCCACATGCGAAACCTGCCGTCAGAGGATTAACCTCACACCCAACTGACAGACAAGGTGAGGAGCTGGCAAGGTTGGCAGACAGAGTGTCCTTGGCAGGCCCAGCCTGCTCCTGTGTGTCCACCCAACCTGGCCCGGCCTGGCCTGTCGTCCAGGAGCAGGGCAGAAGGGGTGTGGTCCAGAAGCTCAGCTCTTCTGCCGCGATGGCCGCGATGGCAAAAGACGCCTACTTTAACGCCTCCATCCATCGACCGCCCGCCTGGGTTGTTGACGCTGCATTGTGCATTCTAAAGGAGCGCCTGCACGACCTTAGCGCTGTTCTCCTCCTCCTTTGCCGGCCCAAGCCGTTCCTGGCTGCCAGGCTAGAGGCCGGTCGCTGGCGTTTTCAGCCTTGGACTTTGACAGCCATCCGTCATCTGACCCAAGCATCTGGTATCGGGCAGCGAAATCCTCGTACGTAGCCCGCATGCTGTCATATCCAGTACGAGATGACTGGCGGTCATTTTGGTCCGAAGCTTCGCGCTTGGCGGTTGACATCCATCTCTCTGCCAGATCCACCGCTTAAGCAGAGGCGTTAGAAGCCGCGAATGTCACCAAGGAATCGATGAAGATCACCAGCAGAAGCCAGAACGGCGCTATGAATCACTACCTGGGGGGCGCTAAAGGGAACTAAGCTGGCAGAGCGGAAGGGGGCGAATTTTCCGTCCATGACTCTTGTCCTTCTGACTCCTCTCCACTTGGCGCTCGCGCTCTTGACACTGATGGCGAGATTCTGTCACGAAGACACTAGCCAGCGCTAAAGCAGCCATGACACCCGCCATAGGACGCGAGTGTTACAAGTAGTTTGGAGCCAGACTTCAGCTGAAGAGACCATCATATCTTCTCCATTTATTAGGGGAAATTGGCGAAAATCATGGGCCAGGGCAAAAACAACGGAAGATGCCTTGGTCTGCCTTGATCCAAGTGCTCCGTCTCTAGCTGATCCAATTTCATGTTTAATTGAGCTAAATATCTAGGCAATACCGTATCGTATCTATGATTCGTTCTTGCGGATGACCGTCCGAGCACAAACTCACGACACAAGTCTATCACCAAAGTTCACGATGTACGGACACGACAAGTTGGCGTTGATCTCACCATCTTGGTTGACCAGAAAGCTTAAATCCACAGCCAGTGCTGGGTTCCAGAGCGTCGGTGCAGCTGGCATGGCTACTAACTTCGCTTCACCCGCAATGGTGATGATGATGACCCGTGGCGTGACACTTTTGCTGACTGGCCATGCTTTTCCTGGGGCGTCACGCGTTCCCAAGTTTATTTGATCAGCAGGTGTAGGGGGAGAATGGACGACGGAGGACGGGAACAGTAGGCGCCTGCCCACTGGTACTAGCTCCTCTTTGACAAGTCACAAGCGTGTGTTGTCCGTCGTGCTGCTCCATAGCTCACGTTCTGTCAACTTAGCCAGACAGGTTGGTTTGGGTTTGTGGCGTGCACAATATGTGGCCGCGCCATGTTTTTGTTGTCTGCTTGTGCTTGATGTGCTAACGACCCAGTGCCAGGTTCTTGGATCCAGCGCAGTGGGCGCTATCGTTAGGAGCCACACGCATTCCATCCACACGGCGTGGCAGTGCTTGCCGATTACTCAAACCCAAAATATCGCCAAGTGGTGTGGAATGTCACTCACTGAAACGGGGGTTGCGTACTGCGTGGCTCTACTTGGCGAGTTTGCTTCTTCGTTGGCTTCAAGGACCAGGAATGACCCTAAACAGACAGCGAGATGTGACCTAGCCGCGATATGCATATGCTCCATCGCGAGCAGTCTCGATCGATCAACACGTATAGCAATGTTGGGCTCCAGCTTCTTCAAATAAGGCTGGCATGGGAATTAGATCCGAGAACCCTGTCCAGATCCATGGTGTTGCTTGGCTCACAAATCGGGGAATAGTATTTTGGATGTTTTCTTTTTTCTTTCCCCTGCCCCATTGACTCGAATCTCGTTGGTCTCTTTTGCCGTTCTTGTCAATGCCAGCCGCCGTCACCCCTCTGCCTTCCTAGCGGAGCCCATTTCAGCCTGCTCGGTCTTGTCCAAACACTATCATCCCCCCCTGCTGTCCCTTACAGATTTAAAGACTGGTCTACTATCCAGAGGCTCTGCTTTCGTCTCAATCGCAGGGATCCCGTCCTGTAGTGTGTCTCATCTGAGAGGCCATGATGCGATTGGCTGCTTGGGCTTGGATCCGGTTGTGCAAGGGAGGGGTGACGATCAGAGCCGATCACAGGGATCAGATCGGTCCCGAACTTGAGATGGGGACTGCTGGTTGGCCCACCAGTCCCAATAGCCAAGCCAGCCCCAGTACCCACCAGACAGCATGTAATTACGGTCCTCCTTTCGATGGCGCCTGGAACCCATGGCAGCCGCCTGAGATGGGTGTCTCTGTCTCTTGGCTTCGACTTGGCCTGGGACTTGGGCCATTGCGGGCAAGCCCCTGTGCCACACCACGGCCTTGGGCCACACCACAGCGAGACACACACCATTTTCACCTTCTCCATACCTTAGTGCTCCTGAGTACTTCCCTCCGTCCTATATTTACCTCTGCCAGAAGTAATAATGTTTAGTGCGGTGCCTAATTGTCTGCGGCAACCAACTGCCAAGCCACTGGCCCACATGTCACTGCACGAGCGGCCGATGACAACCGGTTTTGGAGCCTCTAATATTTAATAACCGCCTCCTTACTCATTTCGCATGCGGCTTGAGGCGTGCGGCTGGCACCTGGTCAGCGGCAGCTTGCACAACTCGTGCAGGAAAACATTGCTTGATTCATTCGTATGTGCCGGCTGGGCTTGGCAGGCAGGGTTTGTGGCGTCAAGACGCAGCTCACTAATAGTGAGCCCATGCTCCCCGTTCCAGCCATGACCTCCAGTATGGAGATCAATATGTTGGCAACTGAATCATATCAATGAGTGTGGCCTGGTATCTGCAATACCATGCTTTACCCAGCGGGCGCTCTGATCTACGGCCATTGGGACCACTATGAGGCCAGCCCGGATTTTCAATTGGAGGATAACATGCGTCAGCAATTTGGGGGCCATTGTATGTAGGTGATATTGTTCCCTCGGCCGTAGCATGTTGGATGGTGCGACAACCGGTTCTTCCTGCTGTTCATCCTTTCTACATACATACATACTCTCTGTCAAGAGCAGCTTACTAATTTCTGTCGATATGCTTGGGTCTTGGACAACTTGAATATACGAAGTGCTGCCTGTAGGATGTCGGCTGTGGGATGAGCCCACCCTAATACATAGTCTGTATGTAAGTATGCATGTGGATCGTCATGTGGAGGAGCAAACATTGTGGTACAGCCAGACGAAAGTCGCGACTCTTTCTCTTCCTGCAGCTTTCAATCTTCTTTCACAGCACGGCGGGTATCGAGCCGTGCATTGTACATCATCTTGCTGGCATTGGGCATACGTAGGACGGAGACCTTGCGTTCTCTCCAATGGGCAACGCTCTGTTGGCTCTGTTTTGGGTGGTATTAGGTAGGTACATGAGTCGTGATATACCTATGAAGATCATATCATATAGGGGTGTCTGCGTGTCCACCAATCCGGCGGAATGCTTGCACAGATGTCTTATACAGATATGATGATGGCGCCTAGAAGTGCCTTATGTTCTCTTCTCGGCCGCAGAACCGAAAGCGGAGAGGGGGAATCGACGGCGAAGAAAGTTGGGCCATCTCGAGATCGAGAGATGGAGGTGCTGACCTGCTTGCTGGGAAGGCGCCTTGTTGCCTCCCAAGGAAGTGGCAGGAACGGATGCACACCGCCATCTCGTCATGCCTCTTCCCAGCACCTTGCTCACCAGATCACCAGCACTTAGACCTACACCTGCACCTGCACCTGCATAAGATGGGGGCCCTACCCTCAGCCCAACTTCATCGCATTACATCGCGTCGAATCATGGGTCCTTAGCCGCCAATGGCCTACTCCTCTCGCCCGAAAGCTGCCAACATGATCCTCCTCCGGGGCTCACCTTGTAAAGTTTACCACCTGCGCGCACACACAACCTCTTGATTTATGCATGCAACGCCAGACTGCACGCACGGATGGCGGCGTCGAGAACCCACGCACCCAGAGCACCAGTAGGCACGGCAAACTCCATCACCCCCCACTGCGCTATCCAATTCGCCCCATCGTGGCTGGAAAGACGCCGACAGACCTGAGGCCACCTGGTGCCCAAGGCCGAATCCTCAGCCTTCGATGGTCATACGCTAGGTAGGTACCAGAAATCAGCAAGGTTGGCGATGGGCGACACCACGCTACATGGCAATGCGACCGGCCTTCCAAGTGGGCATACGTTTAGTTAAGCGTTCATGCAAAGCCGTCTTCCCACAGCCAGCTTCAGCAATTTGACCTGGTGTTCCTCGAGAGAAGCTCTTGGATATCTTCTTGGGTAAGCCCTTCACAGCTCGGGGACACTCCACGCCACGGCTCATCATGCATAGGACCATGTCCCAGCGGACGGCGACCTGCTCCGAATCAAGGAGAATAGGATGCTCACGGTGTTACCTGGCTCCTCCCTTAATATCCTAGCCCCCATCTGATAGAGGCTTGTGCCTGGAGTAATAGCAGAAGCATCACCGCTGCGCTAATGTAATCGACAGCTAGTGCCATATCTGCCATCTCGTATCACGTCAAGACATGGAACCCATGGGGTGCGATGTGCAGATAAAGTGCGGATCGGAAACCCCTCCTCTCGCCAGAAAGCCAAAGACTTTGTTGGGGAAGAGATGTGAGCTCTTGCCGAGTCCCTGCGGATCGGACTGGAGACGGTCTTTATGTGCAATGAGCCGGTTGTCTGTGCACGCGTTGTGATGAAGCGGCAGCTTCAGGTGGGCTGTCTAGCTTCACCCCTAGTCGTCTCTATATTCGCCGCAACACGGCATAAATGCACGGGGTGTCTTGAGGGTTGACCTGAAGAGGGCTCAACAGGTCTCGGGCCTCGAACAACACGAGAGAACTACAGTGAAACCTGCAAGTCTAGGTAGGTCGGCATCGGCGCTCAATGACACGAGCCTCATGCCGCCGGCTCATGCCACGGCACAGCATGGCAAACCTATACTTCTCATTCTCCAGCAGTCCACCTAACCGGGCCAAGTAGCTTCTTCCCGGGGGAACTAATAGTCGATCGGGTGCTTCGAAAACCAACACAAACGAGTTTGGCCATCTTTAAAAAGATCGGGCACGCGATTATCCGTAGACATCCAGACCACGCCCCTTTCTTCACCTGCCGGCGCGTATCACAAGAGTTCTAGTGTTACTCAAACCGTGCTTTACGTGGCTGATCCCGTCTTGTACGAAAGAATCGACCCCAGAAACTATAATGTTTCCAGGGGTAAATTCCAGAAACGACGTGGACTAACGAGCATAGAATGAAGTTACATGTAGGGTGACCTCAAATGACCTGAACCTGCCCCAAAGACCCGAAGCTGCAACCAAAAATTCGTCATCCGATCCTACATACCTGCGTGTGACCATGCCGTGCCTCACTGGCGTTATCAGTGGCTGAAGTTATTGAAACCTAGCGAGTTCGCCCACCATTAGGATTGAAGAAGCTGCAGTCAGACATCCTAGCAGATGTCAGAGTGCGGCACTGCCATGCTCTCTCCCACGAACCATTCCGGGTTCGTGGATTCCACTACACTACTCAAGAGACAGGTCTCCTTGGCGGTTCCATTTTCCCAATGGCACGTTCTGTCAAGATTTTGATAGCTGCCATACCTTACTGTACCAACTCACAGTCCCTCGCAAGCTCGACTGTTCTCGGGCACTGCCCCGCCTATGTTTCTCAGCACTACCTCCCCTCGTCTTTTCTCCCATGGATACACGAACCATCAGCTTGGGAAGCCTATTTTCCGGCTGTGGTAGTAGAACAACAACGCAAACTTTCCGGTCAAGACTGACTTGACTGTGCTGCACAACGTCCAACTCAAAGTCAGGGCCCACAGCACAGCTAATCAAACTGGCCGGGGGAACCAAATCTGGCCTTGGTCTGCTGCGGTCCATCCTGGACTTGTAACACTTGTCACAACATCCTCCCTGGCTGCACACTCCGCGTCCACTATGACGGGTAATCCCATAGCTTTCTCCTCTCACCATTCTGTCATGAATCAGCCGTTCATTCTCCATGTCAGGGCGGTGAGACCCTCCCTCGCCTCTGTCGAAATGGGGGAGTGTAAGGCAACAGTTTCCTGACAGCATCGTCAGACAAGCCATCCGCCGCCATGGGATCACAGGTGCCTAGTCGGAACTCCCTCTGTGTTACGAAGAGGAGAAGTAGGCAGTCTACATTCAAAGAACAATGGCGATGGCTGCTCAGTAACTAGGCAGATAGACATGTCTTTTGGATGGAAGGGAGTGTTTCTCCAGACGAGCTCGGCTCGGACTCCATTCACTCCACCCCCCAGAATGTGCTTTTCGGACATGGAATCAATAGAATGCGCCTACGATGCGTGGTGACCGACGTGGAGACATGATCCTGCAGCCTCAAACTATATGAGAGGAATATCTACATACGCCGTGTAACCTTGATCGGTCCGTCGCCCGCAAGCTTCATCAAATACAGTTCAATGACCGCTTCCCGCATGTCCCATGGGATGGCAAGCCCGGGAACGATTCTTTCCGGCGCCATCTTTTGCGAAAGATGTCAGTGAATAGCGTCAATAGCCCGCGTTTGCTACGCCTAGCTTAGAAGCTCCTGCGACTGTTTACACCAACTTCTGAATCCACAGAAAACAGAACAGATAATCGTATACTGTTTCAGTTTCCATTGAGCACAACGCACCTCTTCCAACAAGAAAAAAAAAGTGCGGCTATGAATCAGGCCTGGTACATGTGGCAGCTCCCTACCGTAACAAAACCATGCTGCTTCGGTCAGACATGCAAGCAGACAACGCTGCATGCCTCCAGCCCTCAACAAATCCCGGGCGCTAGGACCCAGCTTCTGGCTCAACATGAGATCCAGTACAGCAAGTAGAAAACCGGTAGGGTGGAATCTCTTGGCAACGGAACGCCTATCCCATGCTTGCCCAGTGAACCGTGTCCTACACGCAACCACACCATCATGGATCTTCATGCATCTTTACAGTTCGAGAGATCGAGACCACGGTCTAGATACTCCTTTTGCCCCGTAGTAGTAGCCATCCACTCTCTCCCGTCCATTGAACAGCTGGGGCAGTCTGCCTCAATCTCGCTCGGGTCTCGACACTCTGAACACCTCTGACATAGTTTTGGCGTAATATATGTGCATCTATGTAGGCTACCATCTACACCAAGTCGAATGCTTCAGCTCGATGCAATAGCAGCAGCCTTGATTGATGTTGAACCCGGGGCAACTTGGATCAGCCCATCTCCAGTACCAAGGGGGCAAAACCTCACACCCATCACAATGCAATGCGCACCTCACGGCACCGCCGGGCGGAACATGGATGGAAGAACCACACATCGGGCATTAAATGAGACGGGGTGCTCCGGCTGTCTTACAATCTGCCGCCATCCTATGTGCATTGCCCTTCTTGGCCTTGTGCAGAGTTGCAGGTCGCGTAGTTGTGGATGCGATGCTGTTGCAGGTATCATCATACCGCCCATGACGGAAAGCAACCTCCCTCTCGACCCAATCGCAACCCAGTCCACGGCTTGCCCCTGCTGTGCCTCGACATGTTGATTCCCCAGTGACAGCGACAGCCGGATACGCGAGCACAACACTCCCCTCCCTAACCCATCCATATGCACGTATAAACAAATCTGGGTGCGTCTCTGATGCAGGTTCCCACCTTTGTGGCTATCCTGGATGCTTGCAAGGCTGCTGCCGTGCTTCCATGTATAATGCGTACCGACCTGCTCATTTCGGCGGGCTCTTTGCAGGAGGCCACTGGGAGAGCCCGAGGGGGAGGGTTACCACTTGAAACATGCACATCATCTCACCGGATCTGCCAGCTGCAAGGCATCGGGGCTGCTGAAAATTTAGAGTATGCAGCAGTGCCGAGACTGAATACGAGCCTTGGGCAAGCATGACAACGTTCCGTGCATTGATAGAAACACGGCGGTTCGTAGGTACCTACATGTAGTCTAGGGTAGACATGTGGGAAGAAGACAGCTCACAGGCGATTTGAGTGGGGCCAGTCACCAACCAGCCTTCTGAAGGGGGTTTCAACTGCCATCATCATCAACGACGTCGAGGAACGCGGTCTCTCGTCACACAAAGGGAAATCATGAGGGAGAGAGTGACCTTTTTTCACCCCACGGACACTGGGGTCCTCCCAGAGAACCTCAAACGTGACAAGGGAGGGCTGGAGACCCCTGTATTTGAGACGACTCGAGAGGACCGCCTCACCCTTGGCCTGGACGAGCTGCCAGCCGAGGTAGCTTCCGTCCTCAACGGATTCTCATCTCTGCATGTGGCGTGGAATAGCCCGGTGGCATATCGGACCCTTGAGCCATTCGCGGCGCGGTTGTCTCCTGGACTCCATGTCTTATTTGACCCAGCTGTTGCCGGGACGTCTGAGAAGTAAGTGGACGTTTAGACTGGCTTTCTATCAGATCTGGGCGACTGACAAGATAATTTTAGGTCCGATTTATGTTCTCTACTCCAAGTGTTTAGTCCTCGGGATTGTTCGGTAGATGAGGTAAGAGAAGTTTTATTGCCACTTATTCGAGCTTTGGGGTTGGCGACTTTGGACGAAACGAAGCTAACCATTCCCAAGGCCATCTCTACAACAATAACTGGCCCGGAGGGGTCTCCCCAGCCGAAACAATTCTTTCAGCCGCTCGAGGAGCTCTCATATTTTGCCAAATGGCTGAGCTCTGAAGTTTGTGGAGCTGAAGATGATGCCTGCCAATCGCGGGCTCAGAGGCTTCAGTCTGCCGCGGGCCTGGACATCACTTACGACGCAGCATCTAAAACCGCAAAGGTGTCGGCATTCTGGCCACTCGAGAAACAGCCTGTCTCTGTCCCCTTCTCTCCTCATAGAAGAACCGAGGTTGGGATCTTGACTCTGGGGAACCCCCCCAACCTTGCCCCAGACCATGTTGGTGTCTCTGGTATCTTGACTACCCTTGGAGAGAAGAAACAGCCCTCCCCGGCCTTGTTCGCCTTTCCAGCTCGTCACAAACTGAGCGAGTCGTACTTCTCAACCGCTTTCCTGACCCCCACTGGCCTTCACCCAACCCTCCAGCTGAGGCTGAGCGGCAACCAGCCGCCCAAGGAGGATGCCGAGTGCAGACCGTACGCCTACTTGACTCTGCCAAAGACGATCTTCGCAGATCGCTTCCAGCTTGACGGGGAGCTATTCATGGCCTCCAAGAATCTCACCGCGCTGCGCGCGACCAGTCTGCCCGTCGATCTAGAGGCACCCGCTTACACCACGGGTGCCTGGGGCTCCAGCATCCTCCTGGAGCTCGCACCGCCGACCTCGGCCGCGAACCAGGCATGGACCGCCGAGGTGCCGCTGCACCTGCGCTACCTGAAGCCCTCCAAGACTGGACTGGAGAGCATCGAGGTGCCCTACCCGGCGGTGTTCTGGGCGTGCTCGGCCGAGCAGGGCCCCGAGTTCTCGCAGAACCCCTTTGACCGCGCCCGTGTTGGGTATGATACCCTGTTTGAGTCGGACACGGTGTTCTGGCATGTTGAGCCGCGACCTGAGCAAGGGGATAGGCTGGTGAATGCCATATCCGTGCCCGTCTTGGACGAGCGCGGCTCGGCTCTGATCGGGGTTGGCACCTCGCTGGTTGTCGCGCTGGGATTCGGCTGGGTGCTCTGGAAGCTGTATAGCGCAGTTGCGCAGAACGGGTTCCGGGATACTTCTGAAGCCGCCGAGGAGAAGAAGAAGCGTTGATTTTCTCTTTTTCTGGATATCATCATTACCTATTAGGTCAGTCTGTGTGGGTAAGCAGGATGGGTCTTTATCTCGACATGTATCTGCCAATAGATTCTGTAGTTGCCATAAGCATTAATATATAATAGATCTTGGATACCGCGCTGAATAGCACGTAGACACCTGATTCCAATGAACTGTTTCAAACCGTGGTTGAAATGTTGGTGTCGGGAATATGAAGCACGTGACCTTATATCTCACTCTATTTTGTGGTGTTTTGGTAGCTCGTCGTGAATCATCACGCCAACACCATCCCAGACGATAAGCAGTATCCCTGTTGATTAAATGACTTCGCTGGCCGTTCCTTGACCACAGGGAGAAAGAAGCCCAGGTCTCCCCCGATTTCTTGGGCTGGGAATCCCCGACGACGAGGGTGACTTCAATTGGAGACGAGTCGCGATGACGTCGTCTGCGCCTGGGCAGTATCCCGCGCCGGCGCCGGAAGAAGCACAGCACCACCAGCCGGCGCGCCACGAGGATCGCATACGCAGAAACGTAGCGTGCGTCAACTGCCGGAACTCAAAGGTAATTCGTTATTGCTTCGCGACACGCCGCGGGTGCACGCAGGTTTTTGCTGACCGTCGCGTTGTGTAGGTCCGGTGTAGAACGAGCTCGGTGGCCGGCAACCCCTGCCAGCGGTGTGCCAAGCTGGAGATACCCTGTGTTGTTGATAAGTCTCATAAGAGGGTTACGAGACGGAGGTGTGTTCGATCCGGATTCACGTTTTCTGAACCAGGCAGCCCCTGCTCACGTCCATCTACCGTCTGCATGCTAGTGTAAGTCGAGATATGTGTATATGCTGACTTGGCGCTGGCGTTTCTAGTAAGCTGGAGCAACTGGAGCAAGAGCTGAAAAGCATCAAGCAGGCTGTGAACACCAAAGCTGGTGGTGGTGAAGGGTCAATACCTCCTCCGAGCCCGGTGGTGAACCTGTACGTCTCCCCGACGGAGCCTCGGGGTGACTCCATTGTCGTTACTTCACAAGAGACGGATACGTCTCCTGAGAAGGAGGCCACGTCGGTTAGGGTATCAGATAGGCCTCTCAAGGCCACACCAACGAAACCGCGGACGATTGGCGCCAAGGTGGTGGATGGGGTAGAGATCGATCACTATTTCGACAGGTATGTATGGCGCCCTTTGCGACGAATCGATCATTTATTGTACCCTTCTTCAGGGTATTGGATGTGCTGACTGGATTCGGCTGGATGTAAAGATACCTGCAGCACTTCCATGCTTTCCTCCCGGTGCTCCGAAAGAAGGACCCGGACGAGTGTTATGAAGAATGCCCGGTCTTGTTCTGGATTGTCATTCTGACGGCATGCCGGCGCTATTGCCTGGACGAGCAACTTCACTCTACTCTGGTTGAGTCGATCTCCAAGGACATCTGGGCTCTCGTGTCGAGTCCCGTTATGAACCTCGAGGCCGTTCACGCTCTGCTCCTGATATGTGTCTACCCTCTGCCTACAATTCGCTTTGCAACGGATCCCTCCACAACGTTTGCAACCCTTGCGCTGCATTTTTGCACGCAGCTCGGTTTGCACACGGGGAGGGGATCACATAGTGAGTTTTGTGCCGGGCAGAGGCAGCATATCTCGTGTACCAGCGAGGAAGCATCGGTCACCTGGCTCTCGGCTTGCATACTCGCGGAACGGTAAGATGAATCGCACGGATTTGCTCTTAATGAGATACAATCACACCACCACCACCTTCCAGTGCCGTTGCTTACAAAAATTCAAAGATGTGCCTCGAGCATGGGTCTTCCTCCGCCCTCTATCCAGCTCAACGACGGACCAGCCCGGCAGGCTCTCAGCTCCCCTCAGTGGTCGGATGTGATTGCCATGTTCGAGATCCAGAAATTCCTAAACCGCATGCACCTATCAATGGCTGCGTACATCACGTCAAACGGGTCAGTCGGGGAGAGCATAGTGGCAAACTGGGAAGACGACTTCGAGTCCCTCCAGGCCCTCGTCATCGCCGACTCGGAGGTCTCCCGGTTCATGCTCCTGGCCGCCAAGCTGGAGATCCAGGTCTACTACTTCTCCTACCCGGCGGACCGGCCGGGCCCCAACCTCAACCTCAACTTCTGCCGCACCTTTGGCACGACCAAGTCCATGGTACAGACGGCCCTCGCCCTCGACGACTCGCCCAGCAAGTTCCTCGCCCACTCCCCCCACTGGGTCTTCCGCTCCATCATCGACGCCGCCTCCTTCATCATCGTCGCCCTCCACTCCCACAAGCCCCCCGTCACCGTCTCCTCGCTGTCCCGGCACTCCGAGACCTCGTTGGTCGAGCAGGCCAAGGCGGCCGTCTTCAGGTGCTCGGTCCGGGACGGCGACCTCCCCTGCAGGGGGGGCAGCCACTTCGACGCCTTCTGGACCGCCAGGGACATGATCCCCAAGATCGAGCCGGCCGTGCGGACGTGGCCGAACCGCCTGGGCGCGGGGCTCATCTTCTGGTGCTTCTCGCGGTTCACTACCGGCCTCAAGCAGGCCAAGGAACAATCCGATAGCGCGGTGAGGGCTGCTGCGCAGACCACAGGTGAGTCTTCCATTCTTGTTTTAATGCCAGGTATGTAAAGGATATCTGGCTGATGTGGGCATGTTTCGATCTATAGAGCCCGTAGGATCTGGTGAGGTGGCTGCCGTCGCTGCGGTGCCGTCGGCCACGGAGTCGACCATGTTGGCGGCCGACGCATTCCAGGATATAGACCTGTCGATGTTCCTGGACGATTTTGGGTGGAATGGCGGGGATGAGACGGTGTTCATGGGTCTTCCATGAAAATAGATGGCGGATTATCAAGATAGCGAGTCTTGGTCTTTTGCTCGAAAAAGATTCCGTACTTCACCCATCTCTAGATACTGTGGGTATAGTTCGCTCCCCAAATATTGACGAGCCTCTCGGGCAACAGCCTTATATGACTGAAATTATAGAAACATCACTGGATATCGGCAAAGGGGAATTGGACATGGTCCTGATGTGTAAAATCCTAATGTTTGATTGAATCTATCTACCAAAAAGGCCCCGAGAAGTCACAGTTCTACATATTAAAGGCCGAATTAGTGTGAAGATATGAACAATTTATGCCCTCCAGAAATATCAAAACAAACGCCTGCTAACAAAATCATCAATCGTAAACACATGTCTCCATACAAGCAATCTTCCAGGACCGCTCAGTTATGCTTCGAGTTTTTTTTCTTGTTGATTGTTTCATAAGGAAATTGACGAGTGCGGTCTGTTGTTGTCAACTTGTCTAAGTGTAGAAGTCCTCATCCATGTCGTCACCAGCAATCTCCTCGGCGGCATCATCTGAGTCGTCGAACATATCGGCGTCTTCACCGTTGTCGCTATCGGAGTGGTTGGGGATAACGACAATTCTGTTATCATCGAGCTCAATGTGAGCGACCTCGCCATCGCGAATATTGTTTCGAAGGATAAGGATGGCAAGCTTGTTGAGGATCTCCTGCTCGATGAGACGTTGGAGAGGACGGGCACCGTAGGCAGGAGAGTAGCCAGAGGCACCGAGGTAGTCTTTGGCCTCATCAGAGACCTCGATCCTGACTTTCCGACCATTGTCTTCCAGTCGTTTCTGGATTTCAACAATACGGATATCGACAATCCTACGGATCTCTCTTCGGGTGAGCCGGTTGAAGATGACGACTGAGTTGATACGGTTGAGGAACTCCGGAAGGAAATAGTTGCGGAGGGCATTCATAACCAGTTCCCGAGTGCTCGGGTCGATGCGACCTCCCTCGGAGGTTGAAGTTCGAGTAAGATACTCGGCACCCAAATTAGAGGTCATGACGACAATACAGTTCTTGGCGTCGACGACTCTGCCTTGGCCATCGGTAATGCGGCCATCGTCCATAAGCTGGAGCATGACAGTAAGGATCTCCTTGGCAGCCTTCTCGACTTCGTCGAACAGCAGAATAGAGAAAGGCCTGCGGCGGAGGGCCTCGGTCAGTTGACCACCGGCATCGTGACCAACGTACCCAGGGGGGGCACCGATCATCCTGCTCAGAGAGTGTCGCTCTTGATATTCGGACATATCGAACCGGATCATAGCCTTGGGATCATCGAACAGGAACTCGGCTAGAGCCTTGGTGAGCAGGGTCTTACCAGTTCCAGAAGGACCGCAGAAAAGGAAACTAGGCGGCTGATTTGGATTGGCCAGGCCAGAACGTTGCAGACGGATCGAGTTGGCAACGGCTTGGACTGCTTCCTTCTGGCCTACGACAACCTTGCCCAGGACCTTCTCCATGTTGATGAGCTTCTCCTTCTCAGTGGTGCGGAGTCGAGTGACGGGAATTCCGGTCCATCGAGCGACGATCTCGTTGATGTTGTCGGCGGTAACAATGTCAGTAATCATTGCATTGCCGGCATCAGCGCCGGAAGCATTGAGGGCTGCATCAGCCGCAGCCTTGCGGGCCTCAAGCTCCTTGATAACTGCCTCTTGCTCAGGAATAGCACCATATTGCAAGTCGGCAGCCTTGGCGTGATCACCTGAGTTGGTGGCATCCTCAAGACGCTTCAGGAAATCATCAAGCTTGAGTTTTGCTTGGTGAATATCCTCACTGCGCTTGATTTCGTTTTGATATTTCTCTCGGAGAGGCTGCAGCTCCTCCTCGACATTCTTGGCATCCTTCCGTGCCTGCTGAAGTCGGGTCTGTGAGGCCTCATCCTTCTCCTTCTCCAGAGCGGCAATTTCAATCATCAGCTGTCTAAGCTTTCGCTCAAGAGAGTCAATGATTTCAGGCTGCGACTCGCGAGCGACCTGAACTGCAGCGGCGGCTTCGTCGACCAGATCAATAGCAGAGTCGGGAAGGCGCCGAGAAGTGAGGTAGCGAGCAGCCAAGTTGGCGGCAGCAACCAGAGCGCTATCCAGGATGGTCACGCGGTGGTGTCTGTCGTATCGCTCCTTGAGACCTCGAAGGATTGAAACGGTCTCGGGGATGGTGGGTTCCTTGACAAGGACTTGCTGGAATCGACGCTCAAAGGCAGCGTCTTTCTCAACGTACTTGCGGTATTCTGCCAAGGTGGTTGCACCAATGCAATGCAACTGTCCACGGGCAAGCATGGGCTTGAGTAGATTGGCAGCATCCATGCCACCCTCGCCAGAAGATCCAGCGCCCATCAGAAGATGGATCTCATCGACAAAGAGAACGATCATCTCCTTGGCCTCTTCGATCTCCTTGAGAACAGCCTTCATACGCTCCTCGAATTCTCCCCGATATTTGCTTCCAGCGACAAGAGCACCGACATCGAGGGATAGAAGCTTGCAGTGCTTGAGGTTGTCAGGAACATCGCGGTTGACGATTCGCTGGGCCAGACCTTCTACAACGGTGGTCTTTCCTACACCGGGTTCACCGATGAGGACGGGGTTGTTCTTGGTTCGTCGAGAGAGGATTCGAATGACTCGACGGATTTCTTCTTCTCGGCCAATGACAGGATCAATCTTCTTGTCCCTTGCCAGCTTGGTCATATCGATGGTAAACTTGGCCAGGTTCTCGTTTTCCTCGTCGGTATCGGCTGTCTTGCTGTCAACCCGCTTAGTTCCTCGGATGGTTTGGACAGCCTCCTGGACAAGCTTTGGTTTGGGAATATTCGCCTCTCGTAGGGCTGCCTGAACAGCGCTGTCCTCAGAGAGGGCTGTGATCAGATGGTCGACACCAATATAGCTGTCTTTTTGCACCTTCTGTAGCTCCATGGCTTTTCGAAGGACAGCATGGAATGATGCTGCTAGAGCTACTTGCTCTGGGGGAGGGTCCTGGCTGGGTAGTCTGACTAGACCTCTCTTGAGAACTCGGTCGAAGATTTGGGGGTCGCCCCGAGCCCGCTCGATGACTTGTCTGAAGAGTGTAACGCCGGGTGCAGGCCCATTCTGTTGGTCCTTGGACTTGTCGACGGGAGGGTCTAGCAAGGAAACAGCCAGGTGGATTGGCACAAGCTGTGAGTGGCCATACTGCTCGGCGAGGGCCATGGCATCCTCAACGGCCTTCTGTGCCCGGTCTGTGAAGTCCATTCGCGCCGTCATGATGGCGGTTGGGGGTGGTAGACGGGTATAGTAGGTGGATAAGGTATGAGTAGAGGGTAAATTATAGAGAGAAAAGAAGTTGCAAGCTTGAAATTAGGTTTTGTCGCTTTAATAGCTCCTAATGATCGTACGATCAAGTGAGGAGGGGTTGTCGCAACTGCGGACTTTGTGTGTCTTTGTCCTTTCGAAGTGAGTGAAATGAATGGTAAGAGAAGCAGGTTTCGAGCAGGGAGAGATTCATGCAATGATCATTATATCCTCAGCTCAGAGTGGGACCAGTCCAAGATGCCGACATTGCTTGAAGTTGCTGGCTCAATGCAGAACCACCGCGCAGGTGCGAGAAGGTACTCAAGAACCTACCAGAAGCTATTGAGACGTTTGTGTGATGTCATTCGCTGGGGACCCAGCTATGGTGGGGAGCTGCAGGCCTGATTGGCCAGAAACAGGCTTATCGCGCATGAATCAGCAGCCTTGTGCGTTATCAGTTGATGACTCAGCCGCTACCCGAGACACGTTGTTCAGGCGCCAAGACTGTGAGACAGCACACAACGCAGCGGCTGGTCACATGACCTCGCGCAAGTTCCCTTGGCCACTGAGATTTTCCGCGAGGGCCACTGCTGGGTCGACAGGTGCTGTAACGACGACGACAACCACAACGATGAAGCCGGCTCCTGCATTCCGCCTGGGCCAATTGGCCGGTCTGCCAAGGTTATGTCTGCGCCAAAAGCATACACAGCACAGCGGAAAGCCCAGGCAGCCGACGAGTGGGTTTGTCGGACCCGAAGGACATGGAGAGAAAATCTGGGTCTTTGCGCACCGGAGGTCGGATCAGATCATCTATTCCTTCAAGGAGCAGCTTGATGTAAGTTGCTGCTATTATCTCATTGTTTTAGGTTCTTATGTGCTAATTGGAACCTTCCAGGGCTACCACGACTTGAAGCAGCTGCCATATAATGGAAAGAAGACCAAGCCCGCGAAGCTTCGAAAGGACTACTGGTCACCCATGGCGACGATCGAATTCCCCCAAGGACAGGGCACTGTCGGCCGTACCGTTTTTCAAAAGCTCCGTGAGCTCAAGCACCTGCACGAAGTTCAATGGCACGAGGATCTACGCTACAAGTCGGAAAAGGAGTACACGAAGCAGGACAAGAAGGTGGTCAAGGAGAAGCACGAGGCCGGTTTCCTGGAGTACAAACCCCTCCGTACGGTCAAACAGAGAGGCAAAGCCCTGAATGCTCAGAAGGGAAACGCCATTGCCGACATGGCCGTGGTTCTGGCTGGTGAGGGCGCAGGGAACAGAGTGCTGGTCAGCCAAGCCGAGGATGGCGCCAAAGACCTGGTCCAGGTCACCGTCAGCTGGGCCAACGACCAAGACAGAAATTTCGCAGAGGAGTGGTCGAGCAACGTCACCCACGATCTATTCGAGGAACCTTCATATGTGGCCGAGGCGCCTGCCTTGCAATCAACCGGGGCCCAAGCGCAGCCAAGTCCAGCATAAGATTGTTAGGAACTGGAGAAGCCTAGAGCAAGGTGTATATCAAAGCGTTCAGGTCACATGTACAATTTATTTTATTTGGCAGCGGTTTGCGACGTGGATCCGTCTTAAATGTTTTTGTTTTAGGCGAACTGATGCCAATTGTTATATCATAATGTATGACTACCTATTAAAAAAAACATAGAAAAGATGACGCTTCATGATCTGCCCGAGTCTTGGCTCGGTATTAAAATACTCCCGGAGCTATTAATC